ACTTTGACTATTTCTTCTTCTTTTTTTTCACCGAATGATTTTCAGATTTTGAAGGTTTAAATCTAAAAATAAATAACGGAGTTAAAATTTTACCATTACGTCCTTTTTTTTTTAACGATGCGAAAGATAACAACTACAACGGCTATGAACGGGGGACAAGGGTGGTTTTGTCATTTACTAAAGTAGGTTTTTCTTCTTTGTTTTGGATGCTGACGTGTATACTCGATTAGGTCCACGTGTACATACATGATCTGGTTTCTTCTGGGTTTCTGACCATTTTAATGTGGAGTGTTTCCCCAACATTTGCCTCGTTACTAAGAATATTCTTTCTATGTTACACTCAAAACTTTGGTCTTTTGTTTGATACTATTACTATCAAAACTTAGCTTACAGTTTTGCGAATATTTAAATTGGATATTTTCTTCATTTTTTCTACCGTTGTAATGACTTACACATCGAATCTTTCCATTTCTAAATCAAATATTTTAAATTTTCAAATGATTAGTTGAATTTAATGTCAGCATAGTAATCGAAACTATTTCCAAACAAGATTTTTATTTAAAAGCCAACAATCTACGTTTATTTTCAATACCCCAAATTATTTTGTTTTCTGAACCAAATTATCACATTCATAGAGGTTACAAGTTTACAAACATAAAATAAATTATCACTCGGCCAAAATATATAATACATACAGTGGAAACTATAATGTGTCTTGGTGTTTGTGAGGTGGACTCAGATCTTCTCCTTTGTTTCTCAGTGATTCTATGGGATTAGCAACATAACAAATGAAATGTGATTGTTAGGTCAATGACACCAAACAAACTTAGCCGAATCAAAATTTATGTAATAGAATGATTTAATTCGAAAAATCTCACCCATCTTTTGGCGTATTATAGGCTCGAACTCGGTCCCTGCACTTCTTTCACCAAAGGAAATAATGTCACGGCACATTTGGTTTGAAGGTTGAATACCAGCGTCACTCATCCATTCTAAAACCTGAAAATCATTCACACCAAGTCAAATTTATCTCTGAACCGCAAAACTTGCTCGGTATTGATCAATGTTAAGAGAGACAATTTAGTCAGGAGAATGAGATGAACGAAAAATAAAATTACCTCGATGTATTTTCTCCAGTTTCCAGCAGCTAACAGATGATCCAACAGTATTGCATAAGTCTCGAGGTTGATGCCAACACCAGATGCTACTATCTTATAGAACAGCTGCGTGTGTTAATGGTGAAACATGGTTTGGTTAAACTTCTTGTTTGATCTTTTATAACGAAAAACAAAAGAGTATGCACTACTCTAATTAGCAGGTAAAGTAAAAGTTGCTTTCACCTTCATCATTGCTTCGACTTTACCACTCTTCCCAAATAGATGCAGCATCTGATTAGTTAAGCCGATAGAAAGCGAGGGCAGATATGGATCCATCATTTGGATGAGATCTATCGCTCTTTTCCATTCCTGCAAGCTACAACGCCGTAAGTGGAATGGAGTTAATGTTTTCTTTGTATTACAAAAAGGCGAGATGAGATGTATTATGTGCATTGGCATACAAGAACTTACGTGTTACAAGCCGAGAAGATCTCAAAGAAAACTGCTCCAGTGACGGGGACTTCTTTTTCCCGCATCAAATCCGCCAGGATAAAGACATTTGAGGGTTGACCTCCCTTGTTGAAAGCTCTCATCAAAGCTGAACACGCAATAGAATCTGGAACGATTCCATTTGCTTCCATTTCCAGGAAGAGTTCACAAGCCTTTTCCCACTTTTCTGGGGACACAAAACCATTCCAAGGGGATTTAGATCCATGGAAAACATTTTGTTACGATTTTTAACAGCCATGCCCTCGTGGTACATACCTGAAGCATTGTAAGCATGGAGCATTGAAGTGTACGCGATCACATCAGGTTTGCACCCAGCCATCTTCATCTGGTTGAATATGGATTCTGCTTCTGTAACTTGACCCTGGAATTCATCACAAAGTAACTGACAGTCAAACCACACAAAAACCAGAATTTTCTCGATTCGGAGCTCAAACTCTAATTAGCACTTGCCTGTTTGCTATAAGCACATAGAACAGAAGTGTACAACTCCTTCGTCAATGGAATACCGAGATCATTCATATCCTTCAAGTAACTTATTGCTTCAGGGTATTTTGACAATCTACAAGAACCGCTTATAAGGATAGTGAAAGTAACAGAGTCAGCTTTGACTTTCCTTTTTCTCATAGTCTGATACAATGCAATGGCCTTCTCAAGTTCTGCAGCATTTAGAAAGCTTCCAATGGCCGAGTTATAGGCTGCTGTGTTGAGCTTGATTCCTCTTGACTGTGCTGCGGAAAGTACAGTTTCAACATTCACCTTTTTCCCACACCTACTACAAGCAGCCAAAAGAGTGCATACTGAAACAACATTTGGCTCAAAGCCGTCTTGCTCCATCTGCCGAAAAATTTCGACAGCTTCAGCTAGAAACCCGTTAGACCCATAAGCGTCAATCAGTGCATTGTAAGTAACAACATTAGGCTTTCTCCTTTCCTTCCTCATCAAAAGGAATACCTCCTTTGCCTTTTCAGGTTGGCGAGATCTTCCATACGAATTGAGCAAGCATGTATAAGAGACCACATCTGGGAGCATACCATTCCGCTTTATTTCTTGAAAAACCGAGAGAGCATTTTCACTCATTCCATGAACAGCATAGGCACCCATTAAGGCATTATAGGAAACAATATTAGGTTTCAAACCTTCGGCAAGCATTGCTTCAAACACGGCTCTGCAGCTTTCTACCTCTCCCCTGACAGAGTATAAATGCATGATGCTTGTAAATGTCACAACATCAGGCCGGCATTCTGCTCTTTTTCCCCTCATGGAATTGAAAACATCAAGGGCTTGACTGCTTTGACCAAGCTTTGACAGGCAATAGATAACGATATTAAACGTGGTGGTATCGGGCCGAACTTTAGCTCCCTTCATGAGCTCAAAATAAGATAGCGCTTTTGAAAACTGACGACCACTCTTGTATGCTGATAACACAATGTTGTGAGTCACCAAATCTGGTCCAACTCCGTTATCTGTCATTTTCTTGCATACTTCCAGAGCCTCTCTCCAGTTTCCACTAGATCCACAAGCATTGATCAGATTATTGTAGGTTGAACGACTAGGAGCGATCTGCAAAACCAGAGAAGGTTCAAAATCGTGTTTTAAGCAACAGTGACAAGGCCTGAAATCGTAAATCAGAGGTTAAAGAGATTATTCTTCATTGTTGGGCATCACGAAAAGCGGAAAAAAAAGGAGAAGATATCTTTAAGCAGATTGGTCAATTTTACTTGCAAGATGAAGACGCAATATATGCACCAAACCAAAGTTCCCTGGCCATTTATCTATTTATCAGCTTTTTCAACACTGGGAAAGAGAAGAAGGAGCCTCACTTCAGACCCAACTGAACCAAAACCATTTAGAGGAGTTAAGCAAATTTACACACAGCTGCACGTAACATGTCATCCATAAGATTCATAGCCCAGCGCCACTGACCAGCTCGACCATGTGCATTGATAAGAGCATTGTACGTCTCAGCATCCGGTTTGCAGCTACAAACCATACAGCATAAACGTTCTCAATCAATTAATTTCCAATAAACTGAAAAGAAAAACTCCAAAAGAGAGCTTTGTTCTGCATCTAAACTTTAAACCAGAGTAAAAAACACATACCTCCATTTCTGCATTTCAAAGAACAAACCACGAGCCTGATCAATCCAGTTATGCCTAGCATGAAGCCTAATCATCATATTGTAAATATCATTCCTTGCACGATAATTCTTCTGATTCTTCATCCAATTAAAAACATTCACACAAAGCTCAATGCATCCTCTTCTACTCAGCTCCTACAAAAACCCAAAAAATTCAAAACTCCAACAAGTTCAATTTCAAAAC